TACGAACGACGACGACGCGCACACACACACACCACACACACACACACACACACACACACACACACACACACACACACACACACACACACACACACACACACACACACACACACACACAGGTGTGAAAGGTCACTGAGCGGTCACAGCACAGAGGCCGCTCTGGCATCACTTACACTTGTGTTTTTTTTCACTATGTATAATTCTGGTATCCGAGAACATGTTCCGCTCGCTCCAATATAACTTAAAAAAACACCCAACAAATGTATCATCATCTCGGTGTAAATGATATTATATAAAACTTCTGATGAAGCTTTTAAAGCGACTCCATGATCACACATCCAAAATGCATTCTTGACCTGTGGCATGACAGAACGGATTGAAGACGAACCATCGACAAAGATAAAGGGGCTGTTAAAGAGGACTAATACGCTCACATCAGGGTTCATAGTTGTATTTTGTTCCTACACTGAGTCATATCTACAAGCTTTAATGTTAAAACGGTCTTTATTCTTCTATGTGCTGCAGCACCTCTTTTCACCCTCTGTCTGAAACCAGAGCCCAGTGTGCTCTGATTGGTCAGCTGGCCGGCTCTGTTGTGATCCTCTTTAACATTTGAGCATAGCAAGGAAATATACAATATATTATTGTATGTTTCTGCAGCACACTATTTACACCCATGTAGTTGGTAGGTGGGTGGGCAACGTGTCCAACTGAGGACTGTCACAAGAGTTAACAATCATCTTGAACCTTAAGTCTATCTTAATCTGTAAAGTGGGAAATGAACACAAACGTACTTTAGTTTATATACTGTAATTAAACATTTGCTTAATTTGTAAAATTATGGTTATGGTTTAGCTTTCAAATATTTGATGACATTAATTCTTACCAGGAAGGTAGGTTATACTGTACGTACAAATATTGGTTTGACCCTTAGATGCATACGTGGCTTGATGTAACGTGGAATTTCTCCAGAATGGTTTTGATACTGTCCTAAAAACGTTTCTTTTGCCTGCCTTGGGCTCGCTGACGTTTCTTCGGTTGGGAGTTTAGGGTCTTTTTTGGGAGACGTGTTGGACATGCATACGACATGGCTGGTCCGTTGGAGTTGTGTATTTGAGGTGCTCCATTTTAGGCAAAAAATGTGAGCATGAGATGGGTCTTTTTTGCCCCGGTGAGGTGGTTTTCTTACAGTATCTATGTAATTATATATTTTTTTATCATTTCATATTCCAGCTATTCCTCAAAAAACATGTTTTGGATATCACATTTTAATTTAAATGTTATACATTTTAAGAAATTGTAGTTTTTGTATCACTACTCCAACCTTCCATAAGTGGCTCAAAAATGACCAACCCGCATGCATTTTCTATGGAATTTCGTTTTTTTTTTGAAATGTAAAAAAAAAATGTTTTAAAATATTTGAATGAAATAATAACAAAATATTATTCCAAGTGATTTTTTTAAACAAAATTACAAAAATGGCATAAAAACACATTATTCTAATACGGGTCCTTTTTGACCCACTTGGTCCAGTCACTCTAAGGGCATCTAAGGTAAAGGAAAATGCATAACAAATCATTTGGAATAAGTTTTTAAAACAGTAAAGTTTAAAACTGTTGCACTTGGATCTGGGCATAAGAGACAGATCATAATGATATGTAAGCCGCTGGGCTTATCCTAAAGTTTATGAGGCCTCATGATAAAAAGAAACATATGTTACGAATGAGTATTGATGTGTACTGAGGTAGAACGCAATATAATTAATGCTGCAAACAAATAAATGGAGTCAATGGGAAATAGGCCAGCAGCTTTCCATCATCTGTAAAACAATCGTCAGCATCAAAGCAATGACTTCGAGGCAGACCCCAGAGCCTGGTGTGTAACATCTGCAAATGTGACAGGACAGCAAACCTTGTGGAATGGTGAAGTTTTAATTCTAGTCGCATCTAAGCAGAGAGAGGGAGAGAGAGAGAGAGAGAGAGAGAGAAAGATGAGAACAGTGGCCACTGACAGAAGAGCTCCGTGAAATTCACACAAAAAAATAATTTGTTTTTACATCTTTATAATTTATAGATCTCCATTGAGATGTATTAAGTAGAATTTAACAAGCGATGTAATACAGGAATGTCATTTCCTAAATATATTCAAAATAGTTCCTCTAAAAGTCTTTGAGGAATACTTAGTAAACAAAAAAGCTACTATTCTTACACAAACCATAAAAGAAAAGAGGTCTCGTATCTTTGGAGGGTAGCAGATCAAAGTAGAGGGTTGCTTTTTTCTTTGTCTTCTTTACAGTTTGAAGTCCTGAACTAACACATGAAAGAGGGAAAGAGAGAAGCAGAGCTGGTGATTCAGTAATTCTCACCTGCCATTGGAGGAAGAGCAAGGAAGTCCCGCCATACCGAACCAAGCCCCTGACCCCTGACCTAACGACCCCATTGGGCAAAAAAAACTCGCCTGATAACGACCCGTGAGCCAAAATGAGGAAGTTGCTTGGGGC